CTCCATCTCCCACACCCTCACCCACTCCTACTCCATCCGCCCCAACGACATCATCCTCCTAATCTCACCCAACTCCATCCTCTTCCCCCCTCTCTCCCTCGCCGTCATGTCCTCCGGCGCCATCTTATCGACCGCAAACCACCTCTTAACCCGCCGCGAACTCATCTCCCAAGTCCAAGACTCCCGCCCATCCCTCATTCTCACAACCCAATCCCTTTACCCGAAACTCCTCGGCCTAATTCCCCGCCCCCCCGTCCTAATCGACCAATTCCTCCAAACCCTAACTCCCTCCCAAACCCTCACAACCACACCCAACCACGCCGCAGCGCTAATGTACTCTTCCGGCACCACCGGGCGCAGCAAAGGCGTGATTTGCACGCACGGCAATCTAATCCATATGGCCTCCGCGCTGCGGCGGATTTGGGGGACAAGGAATGAATCGGGGAAGAAGGACGTGTACTTGTGCGTGATTCCTCTGTTTCACATGTTTGGCTTCTCGGTATTTGTCTGCGGGGCGGTGGCGGCCGGAGCGACGGTGGTGGTGATGGAGAGGTATTCGTTGGAAGGCGTGCTGGAGGCGGTGGAGAAGTGGGGGGTGACGAGAATGCCGGCGGTGCCGCCGATGGTGGTGCAGATGGTGAAGAAGAGGGAAATGGCGAAGAAGTACGATTTGCGGTCTTTGAAAGAGGTTATTTGTTCGGGACTTTTAATGCAACAACCGATGACACGTGTCTTATTGAATACTCATAACTTATGTGTTCTTTAAATTTTTATATTATTCAATATATATCTAATATGTATTAGATATTTTAATTACGTATTTAATTCTAAAAGTAATAATAAAATTAATACTTATGATATTTAAATCAATTTTGAAACAATTTGTGTTAGATATATTACACTAATCTCAAAGCAAATCTTATGATATTTAAATCAATTTTGAAACAATTTGTGTTAGAATATTCTAACTTAAATTTTTTTCTATATGATATACTTTAATTACTAATAGCACATCATTATTCTTATTTAGTCATGTAAATTCGACAACATTAATATTACTTGACAATAAATTTACTAGATCTTATAATATAAGTTTTTTTTTTTTTTTCCTTTTTAAATTTAGTGAAGAAAAACAAATTAGTAATATCATTACAATTCATGAATGGTGATTATAAGGCTTAATCCCATATGATAAACCTATTTTATGAAGAAACCTAGAGAGCATGCTATTCTTATCAGTTCAATTATGTACTGATTAATACTCCATAGTAGCATGCAAGCAGAATTAAAGCTTCTTAATTTTCTTAAGCAACATTAATACACTTTTTATCTGCAGAAAGCAAGGATAATAGTGTCATTTCACATTACATCAAGTAAAAAACTTATGATTATCCTAATAATGAACCAATATTTAACATTTTATGATCTTAATCCAAGCATTTATAAGTAATTTACTGTTTCATATTGTTGTGCCTTGTAATAATAACCTGCTTTATATTTCAGTGTTATGGCTTAACAGAAACTAGTGGACCCATAACACTTTGTGATGGAGTGGAAGGTAATTTACACCATTCAATTGGTAGGTTGATACCATCCATTGAAGCCAAAATCATTGATGTTTGCACTGGTGAATCTCTTCCTCCAAACAAAAATGGAGAGTTATGTGTAAGGGGACCTCCAATGATGCAAGGTATTAGATCTTCTACTAAATTTAACTAGAATGCATTTTATCATTAGCTAAAAAAATTGGGAAATAATAGTTCATAATGCTCACATACAATTTTCATTAAAATGTCTATAATTTTCCCTCTAGATAGACTATGTGAAACCCCTTAGAAAATAAAGTTGAACTCTGAAATATTTAGGCATCTTTTCATGTAACGGTTGGACTTTCATCAGAAAGCCTGAAGTTAAGTGTGCTCGTATAGGAGTACTCTTGGGATGGGTAATCTCCTAAGCAATTACACAAACGGGACAAAATCATAAGGCTATTAATAGGCCAAAACAGATAATATTTCGATAGTTGAGAATTTAGATTGTTACATATTACACTTGGATCCTTATAATATAGATCACGGTTCACAGTGGATTGTGTAATATTAAAAAATATTAAAAAGATAAAAGACATTCTTGCAGAGTACAAGAGATAATTAATTATCTCAAATACTATCATTAATTAGAATATTTTTTTAGGCTACTTAAACAACCCAGAAGCTACTTCTCTTGCCATTGATGATCAAGGATGGCTTCACACTGGTGATCTGTGCTATATTGATAACAAAGGGCTGGTCTACGTGGTTGATAGGATTAAAGAGCTTATAAAGTATAAAGCTTATCAGGTTGGCTCTTGCATGTATACTATAGTGCTTTAACAGTTTACTCATTATACTATCATTTCGGTTAATCAACTATTCAATTCTTGTTCAAAATAATAGGTTGCTCCAGTTGAGCTAGAAGAAATTCTATCGACCCATCCTGGAGTTGAAGACGTGGCTGTGACATCGTATGTATTCCATTTAAAATCTGTGTGTTATTTGTTTTTTTCAAAAGCTATTAGTGGTTTGTTTAGGTAGTTTTCTGATTGCTTTGTTTTTCAGATATTAACCACACTTCCATTTAGCTTTTTTTTTTTGGTTGCTTTCTCGCCGTTTTCTAGAAAATTTTGTGGTGGGAAGTTGTTTTTTACAAGATCTACTAATGTTTAGAGCTTGTAAGAAAGCTGTTGTTTGACTTTTCAAAAAAGAAATTATAATACACACAATAGCTTTAAAAATTTTACTTTTCTCACAACAGCTTCACAATCATCTTTACGAAAAACTACAGTATCCTTAAAACAGATAGATCCTAAGTTACTGAATCTTTTGATAAGTTATTAAGTTCATATGTGTGTGACAGTATTTTTCATGGCATATTGAATATTATTTTAGGTTTCCAGATGAGGAGGCTGGTGAGATTCCTATGGCATGTGTGGTGAGGAAGGCAGGTTTTGAGATGCAGAAAGATGAATTGGTTGCTTTCATGGAAGACAAGGTAAATATTGTTGTTCTCTTCTGCAATTACTGTTCTAAAACCATGCTGGATTTGCAGAAAAAAAAAACTTAAATTATTGAAGAAGATAGTAAATGTTTCTTTATAATGTTGGAAGAATGTTTGATTAGAAATTCAAGATATTTATAGAACAACTAAAGGATAATTGTTTATTGCAAAACCAAGAGAAACCTAGAAAAGCTCTCAACAAGATGCTTGAGAATTGATTAGTTATATAACCAAGAAGATTATTAATGAACAATTACAATAACAATTAACCTTTTGCCTATTAGCCAACAAAATTAATATTGCCTCTTTATTTTTTGTAATTATGATTTATTATTTAATTAAATGTCATAATAGGTATCATTTGTAACTAATAATTTTTATTCATATAAAGGGTTTTCGTATGAGTATTGGGAATAATTAGAGGTTAAGGATTTGATTGGTCTCTTGAGAGTTCAAATTAACCTAAATAGTATTCTAGAGAGACTCATTGCATTGGTGAGTTAGAGAGAGGTGGGATTTAAGAAAGCTTCATCTTTCTCTTTCTTATATTATTGCTTAATTAGTTCTTCCATTAGTGAAACTTGTGTTAAGCATGGAGTCACTATATATTTTAATTATTAAAAATTTGTCATTCTCCTCAACAACTACAAAGTTCTAAATAATAGCTACCACTAAGTCTTAAATAGAGGCTATTACAATATTAGAAATGTAGATTACAATAAAATCTTAAATGGAGTCGACCATAAAGTTTTAAATGAAAGCTATCATAAAAGTTTGTGATATATGCTTCAAAAGTCTTCAATGGAGTTTGATTATTATTGTTGGATGGTGAACTCTTTACTATATAAACTCATATAATCGTCGCATGTAAAGCATCTCACAATCATAAGAAAATAAAGAGAAAATGGTGAGAAGAGGAAGAAAGAAGGGAAGGGAGGTAGAAGTTCTTGTAGTAGAGAAATGAAGGGAAGGGAAAGCATCATCAATGCATTTAGTCTATACATTTAGTCATTATCTTCATAAGAACTAGTTGTGTTTCTTCTTAGTCATTAGCACAGATAAAGTGATATCTTTGTCTTTACGAAACATAATCTCTGTGTGTATCTTTTTCAAAGATTAGTGAAATATTTGATCTAATGAATAAACGTGAATCTCATCAAACTGTGCGTCTTATTTTTAAGATATTTGGTATAGTCATTCTCCAATCTTTAATTAGTTGTTTGCTCAAAGTTTATTACTATCATAACAATTAATATCAGAGATTTGGTCCAAAAAAAACTTTCAAACTTGGGCCATTGTGGATGGGAAGATAAAAAATTGATAATTTTAGTAGCATTAAATGCATGCTAAGAAAAAAGGTCAATCAATAGCATTGTGATTTTGGGTCTATGCATTCCATAAAGAGGATAAAATTTGTGTGAGGATATCCTTTAATATGTGTGCAATAAAAAAATTGATTGATTATTCATGTTATATACTCATCTCAAAATAAATACAAAAAAATATAAATTCATCATGACCAAATTCTAAATAGAATACCCTCATACAATTTTTATTCCCATATAAATATCTTGAAAATTTTTTTTTTCAAAATTATTGTAAAAATTCTTCATTTTGTCTTTCAATCTTATATGTAAGAGTCAGAAAATTATATTATGATTGTCATTGTGTTCTTCATGTGTCATATATATATATGTCTTCAATTATTTTTTTACGTTTATGTCTTCCCTATTTATGTAAATTAATCAACTATATAATTTAGATAATTACTACCATTTGTCAA